CACTGAGAATCCGTTTGCTATGGATTTGGTTTGCAATGAAATAAACCAATACTTCACTCACACTATAGTATATCCTTTCAATTATTAGTTAATATATTACGGTATATAATATTTGACACAATTTAGTTTAAAATATTATCCTTAATATTAATAACAATTATATATAACATACAAAACACAGAATTATAACAAAAATTTGTAAATAATTTGTAAATTCACTGATAATATCCATTTTTAGTATAAAATGACACAATTTACAAATAATGGCCAGTCAAGTTTAATATTAACCCACAACAAATTATTCACTTTTAATTATATCACTAATTCACATGTCTGTCCACTCACTACCACTCCATTCAACTCAAAAGTATGAGTAATGACAATACTCAACAACAATAAGGGACTGGTATTCACGGCATACCCTTATTATGTCTATTCATATGATTGGCTAAACTACTGCTGGTATTCGTGCTGTACTCGTAGGCCGGCCAATGGCACCGGTAGGCCGACTGCATCCTATGCCTCAACTCATGCGTCTGAAACGACTTGACGTGAACGTACGTCTTGTCACAGCCGGGCCACGCGCACCGGTAGGTCGTCTCAGCCGTATGGGTATTCATATGCATACGGCGCTCGTAATTGTCGGCAAACCGCTGGTCACAAGCGGGCCAATCGCACCGTAACCTTAGGGACTGGTCGTGACGGTAGCCCTTATGGCGCCGGAGCTTATCTATACGTGCGAACCGTTTGCCGCATTCCTCGCACTGCAGGGGACGGGTATGCCGGCGCTCGTGCAGTGCTATGTTATCCTTGCATTTAGTCCTATACTGACAGCCCGTACGCGAGCACTGAATCCACGGCACGTCCGGGAAGGCGTCGGGATGTTGGATGAGCTCATGGGTCCGCAAATACGAGGCCTTTTGTAGCGCTTACGGCACCCGTCGATCGCGCAATGGAACGGGAGTTCAGTGTTGTTGTTGTTGTGCACGAGTCGGTGGTTTAGGTAATGAGCTTTTCGGGTGAACTTCATCGCACAGCCCGTCCACTCGCATACGTACTGTCCCTCCACTTTGCAACGGGTCCCACATTTGGCGTCGCTGTCCGCACGTGAGAGCATCGGTGTCTCACGAGACTGGCGTAAGTGGGGGACCGGTGCTCGCAGCCGATCCACGCGCAGACATACTGTCCACTGGTTGATGATGATTGAGCTCCCGGTGCTGTTAAGTCCGACGTGTGGCCCAACACGTGCTCTACGAAAGCCTCTTTAGATGTGATCTCAAACTCGCAGTAAGGGATGTGACACTGGAATGGCTGTCCACTGGTGTGTCGACCGGTTTTGCGATGATTCCGGAGTGAACTCCTGTGCGAGAAGTGTTTGGAACAGTTCGGGTGATCGCAGAAAACTCTTTGTAGACTCGGATGAGACATCCGGTGCGACCGAAGTTTGGATAATAAAGGGTATGACTTCCCGCAGCCGTCGTAATCGCAAACGTATTTCTGTTTTGATTGCTTTTTACGGCGTTTTGCTTTGAGTTTAAAACTTTTGTCGGACTTATCGCTCCATTATCTCATCACTGGAACCGCTATGATATTCATCTGAATCGTTGTCGTTGTCATCACTTCCACGGGATTTAAGTTTTCGTTTTCCGGTATTTGTTTCGCAATTATTCACAGATTTTGTCTGTAATTCACTTCCGCTTTGAGTGACATTTGTATCGCTTTTCTTGCAATTAGTTTCGTTTAAACCCTGATTTGTATTCATGTCTTCAGTTTCATCGACACATCCGTCGCTTATTATCTCGTCTTCGCACTCAACGCCCACTTCTGAGTCATTATCGTCTGAAACCACTTCACTCTTAGCTACCGATCCATCGACTCTTGGATTATCACTCAATGGATCCGTGGTTTCGGTGCTGTCTTTGGATGCGTTGACACGTGTCTTAAGTTTCCTTATGATAGCCTTTGACCTCAAATTGACGGCTAATCTCGCGGTATGTCTTGAGCTTTGATTATCACATCCCTGTCCACCAGTCACGCGATGCACTCGTCTCTTATGGTCGTAAAGGTATGACGGGTTGGCAAACACGGAGCTACAGTCCCCCGCATCGCACCGGTAGGTCACACCTTGGTGTAGGTATTTGTGTCGATTCAGACCCCGCAACGTGTTGTACCGTTTGTGACACCCTTCCCACTCACAGACATACTGTCCTCCCTTTCCCTTTAATTTATTTTTCTTAGCGTTTTTGGCATTCAAGTGATGACCACTTCCTCGCGAGTCGTGTCCATCAATAGGTTCTTCGTTTTGATCACCATTTGATTGAATAGTGAAATAAATACTCAAACTTTTGGTCTCTTCTAAAGCATTGATTTGTTTCATGAAATCGTTTTCATAAATATTTTCATTAAATTTATGCAAAAAATTAATATATTTTTCGTGAGTTTTGGAAATCAATTCAAATCTCAATAAATCTGTTGACAAACAATTGATTTCACGTTTCAATGTATTTATCATTGAATATAACTCTTCGCGACTTAATTGCGATAAATCCGCAAAAGTTTCACTCATTTCTCGCACTAATTTAATTGCAATTAAAACCCAATTTATGCCAAAAATAACCCAAACTTTAAACACAATTCAAACCATAAAAAAGGTTTTAGCATTTAATAAAATTATTCAATTTATCGAACAAGGTGGTTTTTAAAATTGTAGATTTACCGCCTATATAAATAAAGTGAGGGGCAGTATATAGTATTTCCCGAATGCCATAACCAATGCCCTCCAGAATTTGGGCGACTTTTTCGACGTTCATTATTCCAGTGCCTGTAATGTAGTGACAATTTAGTAGACCTCTAATCAACCCCTCCCTCCCATCCCGGCTCCCATATTATGATTGATTTGTTAGACTCCATGAGTCGACACATACCTTTCCAGCTCCCGGACAATACGTTGCGACTCGTCGTGTCGGGAGCACCGGAACAGGTCGTCCACATCGAGACCATTCTTACGCCAACCCGTCATAAACACCGGGAATACCCATCTGTTTGATTATAATTGTCAAAAATGTTTTAAATACAGATTATTTAGGAAATCTTATTGTATTATTGCCCGGATCGTTTCTAAAAACTTAAAATTATGTGGCTACTTTAAATAAATTTTTAGTATTATATTTTTATAAAATTAACTATTTAACTAAAATAAGATCAAGACAATTTAACACTTACGTTAAAAATATTTTTTGAAAAGTATTTGTATTATCCCATCGTGATTTCCCTTTAATTTTAGCACCCTCGTCCATTATTCGTTTTTAAATTAATTAAAAATATATTTATTTTGCGATTAAAATAAATCACTATTGAGATATTTATTTTAGATTTAATTAACTTAATAGATTGGCAACACTTTTATTAATATTTAATTTAATACATTATGAAATTAAATATCTTTTATATAATTTAATACCTATTACAGGTAATAATATAATTTAATAAAACATATGTTAATTGTAATATCAACAGGATAAGTAAACAAATAAGTTATATCAATTTGGAAAAAATTAAGTTTGTGTTAAGCATTTGGTTTAATGATATATTAGTAGGGATTAAAAATAACAGTAATTTATATTTTTCAATTTTATTTATTTAAATTGAAAAGACTGTAATTTATATTTTAACATTGGTCATGTATTTTGAAAATATAGATTTAAAATATCATTGAATTCTGAATGTAATATGATTTCTAGGTACCTTTTATGTTTAATTTATTCAATTTAAGCATTGTAACTTATTTAATTTTAATTATTTAGATCCCTACTATAGACTTAGAATATTTGCAAAAAATATTTCAGCCCAATTGTTTTCAACCAATGTAATTTATATTTTTATCAGCGTCATTTACTGTAATTTATTTAATTTATGAAATTTTAATTTGTTAAATCCTTACAACCAATACTTCACTAACACTATAGTACGTCCTAGCAATTATTATTTAATATATTATACAATATTTTACACAATTTAGGATATCTAAATTAGTATATCACTTTAGGA